CTACCTCGATGACGTCGTCGTTTTCGCTCCGGACTTCTCAACGCACCTTCAACGCCTGCGGCATGTTTTAACGCGTCTGAGTGACGCCAGTCTGCAACTGAACCTGAAGAAGTGCCGATTTGCAGCTCGGCAGTTGACAATACTCGGCTACGTCGTGTCCAAGGACGGAATTCTCCCCGATCCAGCCAAGCTTCGGGCCGTGACCGAGTTCCCCAAGCCGACATCCATCAAGGAACTGCGCAGTTTCTTAGGACTGTGTTCCTACTTTCGGCGCTTCATCCGAAACTTCGCGTCTATCGCATCGCCGCTGACAAAACTCCTCGGTAGTAACGGGCCTCTCCATTCGTGGTCATCACAGTGTGACGACGCATTCACAACGCTCCGTCGTTTACTGACGTCGCCTCCCATACTCCGCCACTACGACCCTACTGCCCCTACAGAGGTACACACGGACGCCAGTGGTGTCGGTCTCGGCGCTGTCCTTGCGCAGCGCAAACCAGGGTTCCCGGAATATGTCGTGGCGTATGCAAGCCGTACGCTTACAAAAGCCGAGACTAATTACACCGTCACTGAGAAAGAATGTCTGGCAATCGTGTGGGCCCTTACGAAGTTCCGACCTTATTTATATGGTCGCCCATTTGATGTAGTCACCGACCATCACGCACTATGCTGGTTGTCCTCATTGAAAGATCCCTCAGGCCGTCTCGCCCGGTGGGCACTTCGCCTGCAAGACAACGACATCCGCGTGCTGTACCGCAACGGAAGGCAACATGCTGACGCAGACGCCCTGTCGCGCTCTCCCTTGCCTGACGACAATGCCCACGACTCAGCGTCTCACCTTGCCGTTTCTTCCATTAGCATTCATGCCGTTGCTACTGAACAGCGCAAGGATCAATGGATTGCCTCACTGATAGACTTGCTGACTGATCCATCCACTCCATCCACTCGCGCGTTGCGTCGTCAAGCCCACCATTTCGCCGTTCGCGACGACCTTCTCCACCGACGCAATTACAGCGGTGACGGCCGCCAGTGGCTACTAGTCATACCCCGCAGTCTGCGCTCTGACATATGCGAATTCTTTCATACTGATCCGCAATGTGCGCACTCCGGCGTATCCAAGACTTACCAGCGCATTCGCCAACGGTACTTTTGGCGCGGCATGTACCACTATGTGCAGAAATTCGTTCGCTCCTGCATAGAATGTCAGCGCCGCAAAACTTCAACGCACCTGTCGCCGGTAGGTCTGCAACCTCTACCTTGCCCTGCCAGGCCGTTTGGGCGCGTTGGCATTGATTTGTATGGGCCACTTCCACTAACGTCGGCCGGTAACCGCTGGGCCAATGTTGCTGTGGACCACCTCACGCGATATGCCGAAACTGCCGCTCTCCCCGCAGCTACAGCGAGCGATGTGGCCTCCTTCCTGCTCCAACGATTCATGCTGCGACATGGTCCACCTCAGGAACTGCTCAGTGATCGAGGCCGCGTCTTCCTGTCTGAAGTTGTCGAAGCCATTCTCAAAGAGTGCAATGTTGTTCACCGCAAAACTGCTGCTTACCACCCGCAGACGAATGGCCTTACTGAACGCTTCAACCGTACGCTCGGCGACATGCTCTCCAAGTACGTCGCCGCCGATCACACAAATTGGGATTCTATTCTACCCTTCGTCACCTACGCATATAACACCGCCCCTCAGAGCACTACTGGCTTTTCACCTTTCTTTTTATTATATGGAAGGCACCCGTCGCACACCATCGACACTATACTTCCGTACAAGCCAGATCCGTCAGAGTGGGCGCCTATTTCTGCTACAGCCAAGCTTGCTGAAGAGTGTCGAGAGCTTGCAAGGACCTTTACAGCGCATGATCAAGAGCGGCAAAAAGGCATTCGCTCTGACACCAGCACTACTGCGCCCATGTTCCTCCCTGGAGCGCTCGTCTGGCTCTCGATCCCTACCACTTCAGCTGGCCTATCTTCAAAACTATTGCCCAAATACGAAGGCCCCTACCGTGTCGTCGAACGCACTTCCCCTGTAAATTACTTGATCGAACCCATCGAACCATCTTCGGACATGCGCCGTCGAGGGCGCGACATTGTCAACGTGGAGCGCCTCAAAGCCTACCACGACCCGCTCATAGTAACCAGCTGCTAGGTCGCCAGGCGGCTCCCTCTTCGTACCCGGGGTAGTTGTGGTGAAGCCTTTGAACAGTGGGTCGTCCTCTCCAGCGCCTTCTAGTGGGTTGCCCTTTTTAGCAAGAAGAAGAGCAGCTCGTGCAGAGAGTCGGTACCCGCATTGACTGTCACTGTCAAGCATCGTCGACAATCGTCCGCCAATAAACGTCTCAACAATATATATATATATATATATATATATATATATATTGCATTCTCGCTTCTTCCTCATTTGCTTCTCCTACCATGACTTCATACGTCACATAATTCTCTCCCCCCGAAAGAATGCTAGTGTTACAAGTAAAAAAAACATGAAGCGGAGTTTTATAAGCAGAAAATGTTAACACACGCAACATTTCCATGGGACAAGGCCGTTTCGTAAACCGGCGCACACAGAAAAAAAAATTCACAGGAGAGGGTAGCAGTACGATGATATGAACGAGAACTCTGGTAGGCATGGCTGGCTGTTACGTTCAGACAGCATGTCCTATCTTTCATGAGCCCATTCTCGTTGTCGTATGCTGATAAGATGGCGTCTTAATCTTTGTAGGGAGGAACTGGTGACTTCCTATCTTTTTCGGTGTTTGCTGAGGTGTTGGTGCTATAATTATAGGCGTAGTTATGATCTCTTGTGCAGAATGCTTTTCTTGCGACAATCCTTCATGCGAAAATGCCTTACGTCTTGTGTTCGTCTTTGCTTTAATGGGCTTGCTTTGTGACGTCGCCCTTTTAACTGCGATTGTGTTTCCGAGGAAGTTTTAGTTGGTTGTCGTTCTTGACGGAGGACCAGTTGTAATAGTGAAAGCTGGTCGACTTGCCTGTGCTAAACTTGGGTATGTTTTTCAGGATATTGCGTAAGAGGAGCCGCTTTGGGAACACGGCGTTCATTTTCTGCTCTAATTGATGTGTCCAGTAGGTAGATAGTGCACGGTGAGTTGTCTTGCTTGTCGTGCTTGTCGTGCTTGCTTGGTAGTGTGTTATCGTTGCTAGAAAGCCTTTCAAACGCTTCTGTGATGTCTTTCCTCACGGACGCTTCTGGCAACTGGTAATGTGCGAGAACTGATGCTTCTGAGCCTCTTGTGCTGTTCGGTCTTGTGCCAACACAGCAGACGTGTTTTGGTAAGATTCCAGTCAGAAATTTTTCTCTTTCTGTGTAACTAATTAGTTGAGCTGTTCTGACACGTGCATTTGCACAGAAGAGCCAGAGCCTGGCTGATTACCTTCCAACTTTCTCAGCTCTATATCAACCACAGCAAGCGTGCGAGGAATGAGGTGGGCGTTATGAGCAATCGAACGGCGAAATGACAGGAAACCAGGTGGTGGGCCAAGTGTGCGAGACGGTGAGTATGGTGCACTGGGTGTTCCAATGTGTGAAGACTGCTGCTGGTTGTGACAACTGAGATGGGTTGTTTTAACGACGGGTTGCATGCAAATCTTCATCGTAATTTTTAAATCTGATGATCATTTCTTCTCTAATATTTTTTTCACGATTCGTCGTTTTTGGAGATATGAGTGAGGTAGAATTTGAAAGCCTCACCATAGATGTAGTCAGTAAAATTGATGGCCATCTCCCATTCCGACCAAGGTGCAGCGGTAGCGTGGAGCTCGAATAGGTCGAACCAGTCCTGCACGGGACCATCGTCCGCTTCTCCAGTGTACTTGGGAATGGGAAATTGAGCTGATGGTTCCGTCATGATGCTTGTCACTGTGTTGAGTGGGGATGCACTTCTGTGGTCCACGTTTGGTCACTGCGTCTTGCTGAAGTCTTCGATGATGATGGCCGGTTGATGAAGTGGCTGCGAGGTCTTCATCCTGTCGACTTGTGTGACGCTAGATGTCGGAGATGTGGCATGGCTCATACACCATGTTCCTTCCATTCTAACTTCCTTCTCATATGCTTTTCCTACCGTGGCTTCATAGGTCACACACATACACATTATATATATATATATATATATATATATAGGAAAGAAGTGTATACCTAAGGGCTCGTTTTTCCGTGTTTTGACAAAATATTAATGAGATCTAACAGACAGTAATGCCAAGGAATGTATAGGGGAAGTTATTACAACAAATGAAATGTAAATGCGAAGAAAGAAAAGTGGGTGAAAAAATAACCAGCCGTGAGCAGGATAACCTGCTCACGGCTGGTTATTTTTTCACCCACTTTTCTTTCTTCTTATTTACATTCCATTTGTTCTAATAACTTCCCCTATAGATTCCTTGGCATTACTGTCTGTTAGATCTCATTATATATATATATATATATATATATATATATATATATATATATATATACACACACAAACTACTACCAGACTTCAACATCAAGCGCAGACAACTATAGTCAGATAGAACTTACAAATTCTGAATAGGCCCTGCCCAGGAGACCACAGTGCACCAGCCGATCCCTTTATCACTAAAATAAATACAGTAGAATCTTGTTGATACGTTTCCGGCGAAGAAAAAAAAGTTGAGAGATTAACGTACGATCTGGGAAAACGTACGATCCGAATCATACGATCTGACTCGGGTTAATTGGATTTTCGTGATTGCGAGCATAAGAGCCGGGAAATCGTACTAAGCAAAAACGTACTAACGAGGTTCAACTGGTCCCACACAAGCACTGAGGAATGTTCTTCAATAGGCGGGGCTACCAGTTGCCCACGTTGTGGCATCATTTCGGAATGCGCACCGTTTAAGGAAAGCTTGTATACATCCAACTTCCAGGAGAAAATGCTGCACAATTCTAGGGTTGCATTAGGTGATAAATGTCACGAATTTCAGGCAATTGTTTCTTAACCAGGCAGCAAGACATCTAATGAACCGACCTGATCAAGGAACCCTCCGCTGAGATTAGGGCTGCTGCTAGTGCCAGGAAAGCACCTGGAAGCATCGTCCGGCTGTGTTGCACCTCCATAGTGGCACATGGATCGGTGGTGGGCTGCCAAGACAAAGACGGCGGAAGAAGGCATTGAACGAGCGATCACTAATGGCAAACACAGAGACACTTGCATTACTATGCACTACACTCTAAAAAAAAACTGACTACTCGGGGAGTGTTTCTGCTACACAACTAAAATCGTCATCTGACTTGCTCGCGTTTCCTTTCTTGCAAACCTGACGCTGGCCACTGTCCCATCAAGAACGCTATGTCACATCAATGATGTAAGCGTCGTTTTCGTGACCCCGAACTACCGGAACCGTGGTGATAACGCGAGGAAAGTACTCAGAGTACATGACAATTATTGTTGTCTCGCAGAAACACTTCCCAAATACCCTTTTTTTGGAGTGTATCTAGCATCCCCTGAGCCTGTTTTTCTTTGCATAACACTCACATCCCTGCAAAACGATCGCCAAACCAAGGTCGACAGAGTCTTATATAGCTTTTCGCACATAGTCGCACAGTGTGGTTCCTAAAGTGCATGAGATGGCACAAGTGCTCTTGCAGCCACACAACCCAATAGTCCGGTGAAAGAACTCATTTTCTTCACCTTTGGCTCAGGACCATCGTCGCAAATCAAAGGGACTCGCAAAACACTTTTCTGTTCCCTTGCACTAGTCAGCTGTGTTCAAAAAACTGCCCATACTAACGTTACTTACTCAGTATCCTGGCACAGTGAACATCTTCCATTCTGCCATAAATTATACTGGCAAGCTATGCTTACTGTATAACTTTGCTAGCTGGCTTACTCCACAAAAAGTGCAACTCTGTAATTAAACACAATAGTCTTTCTTGGGGACCTTCGATAAAAAAAATTTTGTCTGTCTGTCTGTCTGTACATTTGTCTGTTTATCCGCCCTAAAGATGCCTCAAACGGCACAAAACGGCCAACCCCATCTGCAGCGCCCACCAATATTTCTCAAGGTTTAGCGTTCATAGTTGTGCGATTGTCAATTAAAAAAGCAATTATTGCACATATCTGAGGCGCCATAAAAACACGTGTATGGTTTGTATGTCTGCCTTTATACTACTAGAAGAGGCACACACAAGTAACTCTAAAGATTGTAGCATTTATCGCGCTGTGCTGACAGTGCAATGCGATGCCCTAGAAGATGTTTCCAACGCTTTGCTACGACGACACGGTGGTGGCACCTGCCCGTCGCTTTGCATTCTACACCTTATTACCTTTGAGACTGGCGCGCATCTTCCTCCGCGGTCGCGCACACCTTCGTTTTCGAAGATAACTGCCAGATGGCACTCGTGTCTAACATGCCTAGATGGGCTTGTTCGCCTCCGCTACATGCTCGAGGCACTCTAACGCAGAGCCTTCAGAATACCATTCACCGAATTTATTGTGCAGAACATCAAATAAACGTTTTGTTCACTCTCTCCAGGCGCAAGACTATCGTCTTTCGACGACATTTACAGTGTAACATGTAGATTTGGGCCATTTTTTTTTTTTTTTGCTTGATGTGCTTGCATTCTTCGTTCTAACTTTTGCACCCTTTGTTCTGGTATTGTGACACTTCTTTCTAGGGCACAAGAGACCACACGCAGCACAAGCAACGTGAACTCCTGCTTTGCTAGGCGATGGAGTATTAAAAAAAAGAAAGTAAATAATGGTAGTTTCAGAAGCTTTACCACTTTCTAGATAAAGCTGACATGCTGCATGACCACAGGAGTGTGTACTAACTTGACATTTGTCAACATGCAAGTCAGAGTACAAAGGCTATTCAAATAAAAAGGTATGAAATGTTGTAACAATGTACCCGCTAACATAATGCCTATGCCACTGAGGGAGAACCGGTTGCCAATCGTAGGTAACTACCCTACTGGCAGGGTAGCCCCCCTCCCCGGTGGTCTAGTGGCTAAGGTACTTGGCTGCTGAACCGCAGGTCATGGGATCAAATCTCGGCTGTGACGGCTGCGTTTCCGATGGAGGTGGAAATGTAGGCTCGTGTGCTCACATTTGGGTGCACGTTAAAGATCCCCAGGTGGTCGAAATTTCCGGAGCCCTCCACTACGACGTCTCTCATAATCATATGCTGGTTTTGGGACATTAAACCCCACATATCAAATACTGGCAGGGTGATTTCTAGGCTTGTGTGAATACCGTATTCTCACGCATAATTTACGCCCTCGGATAATTTGCGCACCCCTAGTACTTTACCAGCTTTTCGGAATAAAAAAATATTAACTCACATATTTCGCGCTCCTCGACCCGCCCGAGCCAGCTCGTTGGTGCGCGCACCTTTGGACCTTTCGTATGCATGGCACCTCGCCATGTATAAGAGTGCAGTCAAACAGGCTGCCAGTGCGAAGTCGCTGCTTCCGAAGACTTCGCCGAACTGGGGTCTCTAGAATACCGCTCCCGAACACGAACCAGTTGATGGGTCGCTGGAACTGTTCGAGCGTTTGCCTCCCCTATCTCCCAATCTCTACCACTGCGATATTAGCGAGAATGTACGCTCACGTCATGGCACGGACGAGTTTCTGCATCGGAGGCGTTTGAGGGCCTGGTGCTCCAACTGTTCCCCTCGTTCTCTGCTTATGCGCTACAACGCACGCTTGGTCAATTTCGGAAGTTTAAGTTTCGCCATCTGGCCGACTCATTTTGATGGTTTCCTTGCGATGTGCTGCAGTAATTATATATATGGCAAAATTGAAGCTCGTTGTTGTGAATTTCGCCAAGGAAAATGGCAAGCGTGCCGCCACAAAGTACTTCAAGGAGACGCACTTCAACGTGACGATCGGCGCTGTCCATACGCAAGAAAGCATGTTTCCTGCCACTGAAGGAGGCCTTTTCAATCCTGTGCAGATGCTTAGTTCTTCCGGTATCACCGTGTCAGTGGGACCTCGTTTCTCCCAGCATTGTCGAAAGAGTTAAGAAACTACAATAATTCCCAACCGGCCTTTGCGATCATTGATTCCCGCTAGACTGCATGTGACATATCTGACTGGGTAAAGTACACGCTCATTCTTTCAAAATTAACAAGCAGAATTCGTTTGTGCTCTAATTTATTTCTTTTTTTTTATAAACGTATATACTCCAGGCGTTAAGACTATGGCACAATATTTCGTATGCGCTGGCAAAATTTCCACGTAATTTGTGCACCCCCTTCTCGATAACCCCAAATCAAGAAAAAAAATGCGTAACAGTAGTGAATTTCATGTTCGAAAGCGATTTCTAAGTGATTAGTAATTTTGGCTGAATAATTTCAGATTGAACTCGAATAGTACATATATTGCATGATACCGTATTTACTCGCGTAATGATCACACTCGTGTAATCATCGCACCCCTAAATTTTGTCGTCTAAATTCGATTTTTTTTTCCCCGCGTAATGATCGCATCCCGAAATTGCCGCATGATATGTCGTGTGCCAAGTCTAGCATATGATCATCGCCTTTATTATCTGTTGAATGTAGCGTTAATAACTCTTCGAAACTCGCCAACTGCACGCACCAAACATATTGTCAGGAATCGGTTTATTCAGCCAGGCTCGAGCTAAATCAGACTGGTGACGATATTTACAGATGAAGATGTACAGGTGATGATGATATCAAAGAAAATAAAGAGACATTCACTTGTCGCGCTCACACTAATTCCCCCGCTTGGTTAAAGCGGCCGCCTGGTCGCTTGACAGTATTATGAAATGAATCGCACATAAGGCTTTAAACGAGATACGTGCACTATCTCTGTTCCTCGGCAACGATGATCAGGATTAGCGCTAAGAGGAGAAACGCGGTAATTGACAGGAGATGTCTGTTCGACCATCGTGTACGGCCCAATGAAGCGACTGATAAATTTGTCGCATAAGCCGGGGACGCGTAGTGGAGTCCATAGAAGAACTTCGTCACCAGGGGAAAAACTCACAACACGGCGAGACCAGTCGAAGCGAGATTTTCGAGTGTCTTGAGAGAGGCCGGTGTTAACACGGGCCTGGTGACGACAGTGTGCGGGGGCCGAAAGGAAAGAGACATCCAGAGCGAAACTCGGTGAGCGACCATGGACAAGAAAAAATAGAGAAAAGCTGGCAGTGCGTTGAGCATCCGTATTATAGGCGAATGTCACGAAGGGTAGAATTGCATCCCAATTCGTGTGGTTGGGGTAAATGTACATGGTGATCATGTCCGATAGGGTCCGATGAAACCGTTCAGTGAATCCGTTGGTCTGCGGGTGGTAGCTAGAAGTGGTTTTGTGAACAGTGTTCGAGGCAGCAGAACTTGCTCGACAATGAAAGAGAGAAAGACTTTGCCCCGATCACTCAGAAAATGCATGGAGCTCCATGACGCAAAAAGATGTGGCGAAGAAAGAAATCGGCGACCTCAGTGGCAGTCCCAGATGGTATAGAAGCTGCTTCTGCGTAGTGGGTAAGGTGGTCGACGGCCGTGACAATCCAGCGATTCCCATTGGATGATATAGGAAGAGGGCCATACAAGTCGATTCCAACGACTTCAAAAGGCGAGGCGGGACAAGGAAGAGGTTGCATTAAGCCAGCCAGAGCGGTTGTCGGTCGTTTTCGCCGTTGGCAATAGACACAGGAGGCGACGTACTTAGCGATAGCTGAAGAGAGGCCAGGCCAAAAACAACGACTTCGTATTTTGTCGTAAGTCTTGTGATAGCCTAGATGAGCGGCGGTTGGATCATCATGAGAGGCTTCCAGAACTTCACATTGCAGAGAACGTGGGATGACGGGTACCCACTTGTTACCATCGATGTGGCAAATGTAGCGGTATAAAGCACCACCGACAAGCTTAAATTGTTTAAGTTGTCGACGGAGTCTGGCGTTTGAAGGAGTAGTAGAGCTGGTCAAGCAGTCAACAATGGTGCGGCAGTATGGGTCGACACGTTGTTGTGAAACAAGGATGGATAGGGTGGCAGGTGATAAACTTTGCGCTGCGATTGGAGAGGTGCAGTCGTTTTGGTGTATCGATGGTGAGTGGCTTCCGCTGGGCAAAGGACAGCGCGATAGAGCATCAGCATCTTGATGGTTCTTC